TGTCTTTCAGGGTTCTGGTAGTAGCTAACTATCAAGTTTGCAAAGCTTTCCAGCCCCAACCTGCTAATTTAATGGGTCTCAGAAAATGATAGCTGTATCAATTAGATAAATTGTGCTAAGTTATTATTGCATGGAGACCTAGAGCACAGTGGTTCAAGACAATGGAATAGTTTCTTTCTCTCTTGATAGACTTAAAGTCTATGGGTTGTTTAGGATAGGTAGACAGCTCTGTTCTGTGGCTGTCTTTCTTACTGCTATACCGTCTTAAACATATAGTACTCTACTGTTTGGTTAGAATCAAAAGGTGTACAAGGGAGTAGAGGACAAGCAGCTTTGGTTTTTTAGTAAACAGGATCAGAAAGAAGTTCCACACATACTTCCATTCACATCTTGTTGGCGCCGTCTAGCTGCAGAAGATGCTGACAAATATAGTATGCTCCATCTGAGCAGCCAATGTTCTGCTGAAACTCAGAGGAATCCTATTCCTAAAAGGAAGCAGGGAGAAATGGGTACTACAGGTCTTTCCTAATGATAACTTATAATAATGTTTTAGTTTTTTTAAGAAAAATTACTATAATAAATAAGGAATTTTAAGTTGATAACAATTTTATTGATTTAAATATCATTAAAATTATTCATTGGAGGTATTAGGCATGGTATACATTTGAATGATTTACTGGTTGGAGTTATACCTTTGTTACTGCCTGTATTAAAGTTTTACATCATCTCATTTGGCTGTCATAGTTGGTAAGCTGCCATGTCACGTTAACTGAATTAATCAGATTTTGGTGTGAAAATGTATAAAGCAAGGATACACTGGGCACTTGTCTCATCAGAATTTTACAAGACAGACTTATTACACTGATTCTGCTATGTCTTATAAATGATTCTTTAAATTTTGAGCTAAATAAAGATGTAATTCTGAGTGCTTTTTTTTTTAATTTAAGATTTTTATTGTGGATTAAGTAAACGTTTACAGGACAGATCTACAGTTTTGCATTCAACAAATCATACACCTTGTTTCATTACAATGATTATAATCTCCTCCATGTACTATCAGTTAACAGTATTTCTCTCTATTTATTTATTTTTTTAAACACTCAGGTATATATAATAATTTACACCACCAAAGGGCGCATTCTGCAAGTCTGCCTCCTGGCCGCCAGCTCTTAGTCCCACTCTTCCCATGAATCTAGAGTCCTCAGCTGCTTCCTCTCTCCATGTCCCCATCTCTGCCTCCATCTCTGGTGTCACTGCTTCTCTGGATAAGGTCTCGCATTCCACTTGTGCTCTTCTTCCTTGATGTTCCTAGGGTCCTTTGTTTCGGACTATAAGATTAACCACTCCTCTGTTTTGGGTACAAAATGTCTACCTTTACAGTTGCGATAGTCACAATTAGTCATGATAACGATTACTCATTATTGAATTATAAAAATCTTATCCCCATCTCTTTTAACCAGACCCATCTAGACAAGATGAAAACTATTCAGCGGGGACTCTTTCTTTTCTCATACACTATTAAATTCCCCCTTGAAACCTTGTAAGCCAGTCACTTCGTGCCTTTATTGCCCCCTCATTTTAGGTAGCCAATGTCTTAAGTTGCCTATCCCTGTCTACCCTGTATATAAGAGGGGATAGTATTGATAACTTTATGTGAAGACTCCTTCCCTCTGTTGGTATTTAGAGTTACTACCTCTATGAGTATAGGTCAGGTACATCAAATTGTATCAACTTACCCTTGTTTCCTTTATCAAAAATTGTTTTTCTTTTATCTTGCCCATCATCAAGCCATCGAGGCTAGGTGTGTACCTCCTCTAACTTCATATCAGCTGGATGCTTCACTTTCAGCTCTAACCCTCTGTGGCTATGTCCTTGTCCATGGGCTCAGGTGTCCCCAGTTCTCACCATACTTTGGACCAACCAGCCATTCTTTTTCTCTCTCTCTCATCTCCAGGTTAACAGGAGTCAATGGACTGTGGTTGAACTTAGCCCATTTCTTCATTGCTGCCTTTCCCCCTCTTCCACTCACCAGTAGACCAAAGCTTGCCAGCAAGCTTACATGCCTGCTCATGTGTTCCCTCTGAGTTTCAGTCTGAGTTTCAATGTAGTAGAAATATAGGAAGATACATGTTTCAATCAAAATCCTGAAGGAATTTGATTGCTTACCTTAATGGCTTCCCAGCAAACAGCTTGCTTATTCTTGTAGTAGCCAGTCATACTGACATTTTATTTTGGGTTTTTCTTGATGATCTTTCTTTGAAGATGTATCTTCTGTCACTCTAGCTGTTACAGGCTGGTCTGCTTGTCCTTTCTAGTGGGGATGTCCCACCTCAGAAGGTTCTGGATGGGACTCAGGATTCCACCTAAGGTCCTATACTCTGCAAAGGCGCCACAAGATACCTATTTCACTAGGAAAGTTCTAGAACCCCTTTTAGGTATTCTAATCAGTTATAGGCTGAAGACGGGATTACAGGTTTTCTGTAATCATATTTCCCAACATTCCTTTCTATCCCACTCAAGTGTCTTCTATTTTACAGCAGTAGGCAAGGGAAACCAATATTCATAAGATAGTCAAGCATCTTAGTATTATTTCCCCTCTTCAAACTATGCCTAGATCCCTATATCACAGAGCCCTGTTGTTTCAAGGTTGAGCATGCATCATTATTTACCTCTGTCCCACTTAGACCATGCAAGTCTGTCTCAGTGTTCCCCTATCTACCTTGTTCTTCCACCTCCTCCCCCTTTTTGTATTGCCCTCCCAACACCCAAACTATGATGTGTCTGCTCTTACCCTGTGCTCTACCATCACCTCCCTCCTCTTCTCCCTAAACCCTCCACTCCAACCCCACTATTGTGATTACCTTATATTCCATTAACTTTTCCCTCCATTTAAGACAGTCTTATTTTATCCTGTAATCTACCTTTTCACCACCTGGCTCTCTGTTCTTCTCTGTTTACCTTCTTTCACATTATAATTGTTTTGCTCATGGACTAACTTCTCAGAGCCTCTGAATTTGTTCTTCTAGTTTTATTCTGTTCTCGACTCTTCCATTTGTCAGCTGAGTTCCAGTGATGCTGCTACACATATCAGTCTCTGGTTGTTGTCTGTTCTTTTTGATTCTCAGTCCACAGAACTCTCTTTAGGATGTTTTATATCACAGGGTTGGCTTTGACAAAATCTCTTAGCTTCTGTTTCTCCTGGAATGTTTTGATTACACCATCGTATTTGATTGACAGCTTTGCTGTATAGAGCATTATTGGTTGGCAGTGTTTTTTCTTTCAGGATTTTATATATGTCCCCCCATTGCCTTCTTGCCTGCATGGTTTCTGCTGAGAGATCTGAGCTTAATCTGACTTACTTACCTTTGTTTGTTACACTTCTCTTTTCCCTAGATGCTTTCAGGATTCTTTCCTTGTCTTTGATTTTGAACAGCTGAATTATTATGTCTTAGTGTTTTTCTTTTAGAGTCTGTCCTTCCTGGGGTTCGTTGAGCTTCTTGAATCCTTATCTTTTCAGGATGTTAGAGAAAATTTCTTCCAACAGCTCTTCAACTATCTCCTCTGTGGACTTGTGTGATTCTTTCTGTTCCGGAATGCTGGTAATTCTTAAGTTATTCCTCTTCATGTTTTCCAACATGAATCTTAGACCTTCTTCAGACTTTTTTATGCTTTTTTCTGCTTGCTCTTCTATCTTAGTAGCATTGAGAGATTTGCCTTCCAGCTCACTGGTTCTGGCGTCCATCTCTTCAATTCTACTCCTTTGCCCTTTCAGTGTATTGTCCATTTCTGATATTCTATTATTAATCCTTTGGACCTCTTTCTGTAGGTTCTTAATTGTTTCCAATGCTTTATTTATCTTATTTGATTGTTCCTGTAGCTCTTTCCTACTTCTTATTTTTCTCAACTCCATTGTAAAGTGTTTTGAAACATTTTGTAATCATTTTTCTGAATTCATCTCAGGCATTTCCAAGGCCTGCCCTCCTTCCAATATGGAGTCAAGGTCTACTTCCAGGTCTTTTGCTTCAGTCACTTTATCTCGTTTCTGGACATGTGCGGATATGGTCATCTGTTTCTGTTTTTCCGGCATTTTCAGTAGTTAGCTGTGGCCTTAATACTTAGATGAGTGTGTGTTTTGGTATGTTTTAGGCTCTCTGATTGCCTCCAGGTAGATGTGATCAAGGAGATGGGCTTCCCTTTTCACTCTTCTCCCTGAGAAATTTCAAGATGCCACTGTTGTTGGTCTTTATGACATAACTCAGGATGTAACTTTTGGCCTGTTCCTTTTTAATTTTCCTGTCCCACTCCACAACTCTGTTCAGGCCTTTTTTCTAGTGATAAACAGTTCAGGGCCAGCTTTGGCCATTTTGTGCTGCCGTTTGGTTTTAAGTGGAAACTGTCCCTTTAAATTTTGAGGCAATCTCTAGGCACATGTAATAGAACCTTCTGGGGGTGGGTGATGGGTATCCAACTGCTCTAGTCACCAAAATGGAGGTACGCATACAGCGAGAGACCAATGAATATATATATATAAAAGAATATCCACACCTTTATTTCCACTGTTCCGTCAGGTTTCTGTGACTGCTCTGATCCTTCCCCCATTCAGTCTCACCAAAGATGGCTGCTGTGGGAGTAGCTGAGCACCTTGGATTAGAAAGCACTGGGTTTCTTGCTTCTGCTACAAATTCCACTGGCTGTAAGCCTTCCAACTTTCTAAATATTCCCTAGTATGTGGTTCAGAGTTCTGGGACCATCCCCTAAGCCTTTCTTGGTCTGGTATTCTGTGTTGTTGCTGATGGAGCGCCTCACTGCACTTCTACCCTCTCTGCCATCTTGTTTGTTCTCCCTGAGTGCTTTTGATGCATCTTTCAAAGGTGATAATTTGTGACTTACAAGTTCATTAGTTGAAATTTTACTTTAGTCTCAGAATAGTTGGTAATTAAATATAATGGAAGATAAATCTGATGTTTAAATAGTTTTAAACCTTACTTTTTTTACAATAGGATCTAGAATTCCAAGAAAGATATAAGCGTGAAGAAGCTGAGATTCTAAATCCAATTGAGGAAGGAGAAGAAAAAATCATAAAAGAACTTGATGCTATAAAACAGGAGGTTGAGACTCTGGAGAATGGTAAGAAAAAGTTTAAGCAAGTGATGAGTCAGTATTCCATAGGAAAGAGCTTTAAAGACCAAAACTAAAAAAATATATAAATGTGGTATCAAGTTTTATATGTTATCTTAACAAAGAGTTGGCTTCCCTTAATATCTTCCTTCTCTGAATAGAGTTGGTTATATAAAGACAAGGGAAAGTTGATACAGTGGTAAGAGAATCACAGAATTTGAATGAATTTATTAAGGAAAGAAAAAGTTAGATAGTAGGTCAGTTGCTATTTGTATTTAAGGGGTAAGGATAAGTTACCTTCAGAAAATTCAGATGAGCTGCAATTCAGATGAAGGAAAAACATTCTTTGTATATTTTCTAAGGTTATTGAAAAGATATCTGAAAGATAACCCAGTTTATTGACTTCACATGGAGACTTTTCAGTCCATTAACTAGCTTATATTCATAAAATCAGTTAATTGTGAGGTCCTGAGTATATTCCTGTAATTCTTTGGTCTCGCATATAAATTAATCTTATACCATGTTTAGCTATAGTGTGAATGTTTGGTGAACCAAATATAATTTTAGATAATGGAAATAAAGTTCAGGAATAAATTTCCCATCTGGATAAAGTGTCTTAAAGTTATGGGAGTGAAGGATCCCAAGTGCTAATCTACTGTATTTGTCCTATTAGTTATATAGTAGCTGCTTACAGAGAAATCTTTTTTTTTTTTTTTTCCCTTGAGCTGTTAATGAAATATATAAGGTCATGATCCAATTGTTGCTTAAATTTTTACTTATAAATTTATGCTTAATAATTATTGTTGCTACATGCCCTTGAGTCGGTTCCAAATCATAGCAATCCTATATAGGAGTCCACAGAGTAGTTGGTGAGTTTCAACTGTTGACCTTGTGGTTCAAAACAACCTTGTCCAGTGTTTTATCCCACAGCACCACACCAGCACACCATACTTAACAATAGCTATTGAAATAGAAGTTTAAATCACTATTGGCTAAACTACAAAATGGAAAACTAGACATTATGGTCAATTCTTAGTAACAAGAAAAGAAACAAAGTAACAGTTGTTGTGGTTGTTAAGTGTTACCCAGTCAGTTCCAACTCTTAGCGACCTTGTATAGGGTTCCTGAGGAGTGGCTGATGAGTTTGAACCACCAGCCTTGCAGTTCCAACCAACCTTATAGTTTTGGTCTCTTTTTACTGATTTACTTCCTAAAGTCTATATGGATGATCTCTGATGTCAGTGAGAATGTATGCCATTCACCAAAGTTATTGAATTTGAAATATTCTTGCACATATTCATATTTTAAATTTGGAAATAGCTTCAGAATTATTGAAAAGTTGTAAGGACAGCCAGAGAACCATTAAAGATATCATGTGCCTGATAAATACCTAAATAAATTTATTTCCATGATATTTCCCCAAAACAAGCGTATTGTGTTATATAACTCTAATTACTTTTTATCTTCAGAAAATTTAACTTTAATTACAATGTTGTTGTTGGGTGCTGTGGAGTCAGTTCCCACTCACAGCGTCCATATGCGTAATAAAACAAAATACCTCCAGGTCCTGTGCCGTCCTCACAACTGTTGTTAAGCTTGAGCCCACTGCTGCTGCAACTGTGCTAATCCATCTCATTGGCCGTGCCAATCCATCTCATTGGCCATCTTCCTTTTTTTTGCTGACCCAAGCATGATGTCGTTTTCCAGGGATATTTATCTAATCTGCCATCCATATTACACTTTTTTCAGTTGTTGCAGTAATGTTCTTTATAGCATTTTCCTCCCTGGAGGGCATGTTCCTAAATTGAATTTAATTGTATCTCTGTAATCTCCTTTAATGTGAAACAGCTTCTCAGCCTTAATGCATATTGGCCAATTTTAAAAATAGAATGCCCCTCATTGTGGATTTGTCTGAAGTTTTTTCTTCTTTGGGTTACACATCTTCATCCGAATCCTCCATAAGTAATACTTTGTCCTTCTGAGTTAAAATTTATTTTTTAATTGTAAGGCTCTTTGCTCTATACATCTGTCCATCTGTCTGCCTATCCATATCCTCAACAGTGTACAGTATTGTAGTAAATATTGGCAGAGAACCTTCTTCCCCACCCATGTCTTGAACATTTTTTTTTTAAATAAATGTGAATGTTAGGTACAGCATTTCTTAAATATATTCTATTTTAATCCTACAATGTCAATAATTCAAATTGATGGTGCACATTCTTACTGTACTTACTGGACACAAACTAGATAAAGACTCTCATAAGACAAATAATTGAGTTTTCTTATTTAGCAATATTTACTATTATAAAATCTCACTTTAAACTTTTAATTTCATACAGAATGGGTAAGAGAAGAACTTGATACAAAGCGAAGAGAAAATATATTTTTACTGACGAGAGAAGAGAAGCCAGAGTTGGAAATCAGAAGATACCAGATGGAAATTGGAAGATATCAAATTCAAGATACTGATAAATTGGCAGAGGAAGAAGAAGAAAGACTGAAGAAGGAAATGCTGCTTGCTAAACTCAACGAGATCAACCAAGAACTTGAAGATTCTCGAAACCTAAAATATCCTTCTCTGCCATTGCTACCTGATTTTGAATCAAAAGTAAATTTCCCAGAGAAAAGTCCCAAAGCATACATGTTCTCTGAATCCTCAGAGAGATCATTTAATGGACATCGATTGCAAGACGTCAGCTTTTTAACTACAAAAGAAGAGAGCCAGAATCCTAGAGGGACTAGAAGCCCAGCCTCTCCAAATGAGTTTGCATTTGGTAACTATGTGCCTTCGTTTGCAAAAGCGTCAGGGAAGTCAAATTTATTTAGTCAAAAAAGTGGCCTTTTGGAGTTCCACAGTAACTCTATAGACAGTGTAGACTTAATGAAAAGGAAAGAAAAGAAAGCTAATCTGATGGAACAGCTATTTGGTGCCAGTAGCAGCAGCACCATTTCCTCTAAAAGCCCTGACCCCAATTCACTTTCTGCCAACAGAGGAGACTTTGACCCTTTAAGTTTTCTTCCCAGGGATAAAAGCAGCAGAAGCAAAGAACAAGATGAAGATGATGACTTTTTCCTCAGTGAAGGAAGAAGTTTTCATCCAAGTAGAAACAGATTAAAACATGCAAACAGTAGAGCAACAGTAAAAGCAGTTGATTCTGTAGAAGATGAAATTGAAGAAGTAACACTGAGATGACTGGCTAGATTATCTATTTTTTCTGATTGTAAATATTAAAGTATTTCAATACAGTATTTATTATAAACATTGATACTTGTTAATATTAAGTCCTTATTAAAGAATGATTTTTAATAACTAAATTCAATGCAAATTTTTAAAAGTAGGTAATATCCACACCGCATAGGTAGCTTGCCAAGAATAAGAGAGGCTCTTTTGCTTGAAACCAAAAATAGATGTGTCTTACTTTTTGCTTATAAATCAGTTTTACACTTTAAGCCAGCTCTGTGGGAAGTTTTATTACAGTGGAGGTCATATTCGTTTCCTACTTTTATCCCTAGTTATATTTTTGGCGATAAAAAATAAGCTAAATACAGTTTTCCTGCTGAGTTTTTAATGGAAATTAAGACTTAGTGACTCTGTGTTGGAAAGTGTAGCTTCCCAGTGGTGGGGAACAAATGCTACATAGGAGCCCTGCTCTTCGTGACTAAGGGTGAGATTCCTGTGCTTGGTAAGACAGAGCTACTCTTAAATGCTGCCAGTTACAAGACAACATTGAGATTTTCTATTCCTGTGGAAATACAGTTAAACACTACTCATTTCCCAATTACAGATCTCATAAAATTACTTCCTTGCAACTGTGGTAGCATACTAGGCTGAATTCAGAAGACTTTTTTTTCTGTTTGCATGAGCAATTTCCCTCTGTCTTGACTCACCAAAGCTTGGGTACAGTGTAATTAGTAGTATTTCTCCTTTTGCTCCTACATTCTCTATGTCTCAGTGACTGGGTTTGAGATTTCATACGTGTACAAGAAATGAAAGAAATTACATTGAAATCTAGAAAGATTTTCAATTCAATTATGTTTCCTGAGTAATTTGGAAATTTTAATATGTACTTTTAATATTTTAGTTTACCCTCAAGTGAAGGAGACAATAACATAGTATTATTGGGTTTACAGGACTAATCTTGAAGCAGTCATGGATAAAGTCTTTTGGAGATGGAATTTTTTACTTATTAAGTAGAGTGGATAGTTCTCTCATGAAATGCATTGGTCTTTTTTGGCTACTTGTTCACTTTAGCTGCAAATCTCCAGTTTTGCTGGGTATGATTGATCTTTAAGCAGCAGTAATACACACCTTTATTATGTATGTGCTTATAATATGATTTCTGATGTCAAGCATACACACTAATGAGAGGACTAGAGTTTTTACTTAATTGTAATTTTTATAAATGCTTATTACTGAATAACATCTCATTACTATTTGGCAGGATTTATCTGGTTAGGTCTACAATTAAAAGATATTTTACCTAATCACCTCCTAATTTGTGTTCCTGTCATTTATTGGGAATAGAGTCTCCTAAAAGTGCTCACCTATATTAAAAAGTTGTTTTTTTAAAATAAAGACTGACATATAAACAAGCATTTAGTATTTTACAAATCATTCCAATATGTGTAAAGCAATATTATCATAATACAGTTATTGATGAAATGTAATTATTATGTAATGCTAATTTGTAACTTTAGCTGCTAATTTTTTTGCCAAAGTATTCTAATTTTTAGGTTGTTTTGAAGTTTATTTTTCAAGCCTTTTAAATGGTAAAGTTTTATATTCAGGTCATTTAAAATGGTCTCTTGCTTCTTCCTACCTGATGTTTTCTAAAATTCTCTTTAACCAGATGTAGCAAGACAAAATTATTAAAATTAAATCTAAAATTAAATTATGGACAAAAGCATTATAGTGTTTGTTAAGCATTAAAATTGGAGATTAAAATATATATATAATGGGGTTTTCTTTATGAACAAACCCTAAAGAATAAATCATTTGTCCCAAGTGTCAAAATAGATTTGTTGTTTGTACTCAGAACTCTTTATTAATAAAAATTAAAAACTTAAACTTACATGATTGTCTGTGTATTTGAATGATGCTTTTAGGTTACTTGGAAAATATGTAGTAGAAAGAGGACCCACAGGGTTAATTTTAATTTCATTAATCACCTTTTTTTTTTTTTGGTTCAGTATTTTCAGTTCAAGCAGATGAATTTGCCTTAAAACTGTTTAAACAGTTTGCCACTCTTATCAGATAATTATAGTTTTAATTAGTCCTTTCACCCTTAATAACTACCTTAATGGTACGTATTGCTCATAATAGTTAAAAAAAAAAAAAAATGGTAAGAAGGATTAAATTGAACCATGTGATTAAAAACAAAACTTCATAGCTGACTCACTATTTTTCTGACGCTTTTTCTGTCTCATTTTCAGACACATTAAGAAGCTGGTTTTCCTAGTTGGGTATTAGTTGGATAGAGCATATAAAACTACATGATGAAAAAGGGAAGCGAAATTTTGTATTATGGTGACTCATTTTTAGGATTAAAGTAAGTACCATTGATTATGAACAAAAAATCTGCCTTTAAAAGCTTTTTCATTTCTACACAACAAATATCCTTCTCACATTAATGTTTCCTTTTATGTCATTTGAAAGAGCTCTCCTTTTATTAGAAATCTTTTAATTTTTCATTAAATATTTCTTGAGGTCTTCTTGGGTGCCTTGCATTGACTTAGGTGCATTGACTTATTTAAAGAATGTAAGACGAACAAGATCCCTGCCTTCATGGAGATATTTCATAGTGGATGGAGAACAGGTTGGAGTCAGGCTGCATGTGGCTTATACCATCCTGCCACACTTTCCCTTGAACCTCAGATATTACTAGGTCTTGTAATACAAGGGTAAGTCACAAAATATGCTATTATGATTCCATTTCATATAGAACATAGGTTATCTCTAAACTAAATAAGTTTATCTTAGCCTCTTGGTATGATGCCTTCAAAAAAACTTGCAATAAAAACAGTGGCTTCCAAGGGGATCTGCTTAGCCAATTAAATTCATGGCAAAGAGGTCAACTCAGAAGGTGATGATTAATAAATGAGATCAACTTTACCCTCAACCAATCATACGCTTTGCTTCATCTCAATAATTACAATCACCTCCCTACAGCAACAGTTATCCTGCTTCCTCTTTGTGTACTTCCCTTTTACATCTTTTTTTCACAAATCAACAAAACAAAAATATTTGGTGTTTTCATACAAAATAAAAAATATACGTTCATTTAAATGTCCAAAGGGCACATTTTACAAGACTGCCTCCTGCCCTCAGGCACACAGCCGTTCTCATTCCATGGACCTAAAGTCTGCAGGTCATCTGCCCCATGCCAGTGCCTCCGACACTGATTCTACCATCGCTGCTCCCCTACACTCACCCGCCTCTCATGCTCTTCTTTCTTCATGGCTCTGGGATCTTCTGTTCCTGAAATGAAAGATTAACTACTACCCCCTTTTAGTTTCACATCTTATACAATTACATTTGTGACGATCACAATGAATCCTGCTGACAATAACTCACAATCGAAACATAAAATCCTATCCCCATCATCCCCCATCCCTTTTCAGCAGGCCCATCTGAAAAAGAGGAAAACTGTTCAGTGGGTTTGAAACTAAGCACACTCATGACAGGTTGTAAGCCAGCCACTTAATGCCTTTATAACCCTTCATTTGTTTGTTTCATTATTAAGAAGAGTTTATTGAGTACAGGGTAGCTTTCCAAATGCCTGAGGCACCCCCAGTTTCTGTGGGAAAGAGGGGGAGGAACTGCATTTTGGCAGCTCTAGGTCTGTGGTGGAACTCATGACTCATGAAGACCCTGCTGGCTGTCAGAATCTGTGATTCTGTGGCAAATTTACAAACTCTGGGATGTCTTCTCAGAAATCCTGGGCTGGTTGTGAATATGGGAACATTGATTATTGCTGTGACTGTTAATGGTAACTCAGATCATAAGTACAGTTAGAATTGTTTGTTGTTGTTGTTAATTGCTTGCCATTGAGTCAAGCTTGATTCAAAGTGACCCTGGATAGGGTTTCCGAGGAGTGGCTGGTGTGTTTGCACCACCAACATTTTGGTTAGTAGTTCAGTTATGGCCCCGCATTTTTGATAGTCATTGTCTAAATTGCCCTTCTCTAACAACCCAGTTCACTGAGAAAGCAAACTTATTCCTCGATATGAAGAATCCTTCCATTTCAGTTGGAATTTTGAGCAGCTGCATCCATAAGCAATGGTCCAGTTCAACAAATTGTAGCAATTTATACTAACTGACAGTATCAAGCATCTTTATCTTCATCTTATTCTGGTGAGCTAGCTGTCCGAGTTAGGTCAAATGGGTACTAGCTGCAGGTTTGGGAGTTTATGCATGCCACCCTGCACTTCAAACCAGCTGGCTGCTTCTCTCTCAGCTCTCGCCCCCAGTGACTAGGTCAGCACCCTTGGGCTTGGGAGTTTACACATCTCCCTAAACTTCAGGCCAGTCAGCCCTTCCCTTGTCTCATCTCAAGCTGTATCACCCCAGTCTACAGATAGTGAGAAATTACAGCTGGAGAACAGGAAGCTGACAAAAGACAGCCTGGGAGCTGGCTCACAGAATGAGAGAGCTGAGGCTTTCTAGGAGAATGGGTGCCTCTGGGCATTTATTGATAGAGCTAATGATTTTTGTGACACTTGCTCTAGTAGGGCATAGGCTATGCTAGCCTCTTCTAGAGACTAAGCAACCAAGAAGCCAAAGGTGAAGAGACTAGAATCATGGGAAGCAGAGCTGCTTCATTTTCAAAAGATAAGGCCAGGACCTCTGGGCTCTCAAAGGGTACATAGATCCATGGCTTCAGAGGTTTATTAGGGTGGGACCACAGTTCCTAGATTCCAGAGTCAGATCTTCTCCAAGTAGGTTCTGGACGGTGGGGCTTCTGTTAAGATGGGGCACCAACCAAAGCAAAAGGTCTGCCAGTGAGGTAGACATGCCATGTCCAAAAGGGCAAAACTGCCTGCTGTGCCTAGGGAGTGGGGGTTGTCATTTGGGAGGAGTAGGAGAATGGGACTGCCCAAAGCTGAGGGAACAGAGTTGCTGTTCCATTCCAGTGCACCTGGAAGTCAGAGCTGAAACCCAGCGTCCAGGGCCCTCTACCCAAAATCCAGAAA